GAAAAGGTTTGAGTTCTCTTGTATTCTACTTTCTTTCACTTTTTGTTGCTAAATTTGATGGGTTTTCAACAAAAATATTTGAATTCTCTTGATGGGTATTCTTAATCTTTCGTTTTTTCTTTACTTTCTATCATCCTTTCTTGGGTAAATTTGATGTTTTTATCAAGGTAAGATTCAAGTTTTCTTGATGGGTTTCTGTTAATTTTGGCTAATCCTTGATGGGTTTGCAGGTATGTGACAATAGACGAAAACCATGGGAAGAAATTGTATTATTACTATGTGCTTTCAGAAAGAAACCCTTCTCAGGATCCAGTGGTTCTTTGGCTTAATGGTGGTCCTGGTTGCTCCAGCTTTGATGGGTTTGTCTATGAACATGGTAATTTTTACTGTACTTCACTGTTTTATTAGAATAATCATGGGTTTTTTTTGCATATAAGGGGCCGTTTACCTAAACACTTACCCGGTAAGCACTTACCGGTAAAGATTTTTAGTCCTTGCCATATTCATCCGGTAAAGTAAAGTGACTTGGTAATCGCTTACTCGGGTAATTGAATTGGAATCCCGGGATTTTAATTCCGGACTTCCCTTTAAACCAAGCGCCGGATCGGAATAGAATCCAATTCCAAGTACCACCAAATCCTGCAAACCAAACTGGCCCTTTTGGGGTCATAAAGTTTACCTTTTTGGTCTACTTGATTTCCAGTAAGATGTCTTTCTTCTCTGTGGCATGATCCAATACTAATCAACTTGATTTCCAGCAAGAACAGCCTGTTGACTTTGATGGTCAAACATAGCAATTATCAGCAATTTTGATACTATATATATGTATATGTATATATATATATATATACATACATACATACATATAGATATTGGGATTTACATATAGCAGTCTAAGAACAAATTATGTGGTTTGCAGGTCCATTTAATTTCGAAAAAACCGGAAGTTTGCCCAAGCTTCATCTCAATCCATACACATGGACCAAGGTTTATATGCTTATATGTTTTCGAGTTCATCAAAACCAATCTGATATGTTGCTAGGAATGGATTCATTTGAGAACCGTAAATATTTTGAGACACATAACACCAATTAATATCATGAATATTCATAATGAATCACATGAATATTCATTATGAATATCCTGAATATTTATAATGAATTACATGTATATTCATTGGTTCTCAAAATATTTACTATTCTCAAATGAACCTTCCCATATGTACTAATTACATGAAATTGATCATCAGCAAGAATTATAATCTTGGTTGCAATCTTTATTTGAATTTCCCAGGTTTCAAATATTATATATTTGGACTCTCCTGCTGGAGTCGGAATGTCTTATTCCGGCAACAAATCCGACTACATCACCATGGATACGAAAACCGCTCTAGACTCCCACAAGTTTCTCCTTGAGGTATTCTTCAAAATCAAGAAACAAGAAATTAACCTTTTAAACGCGGGTATCACTTTGATATTCATGGAAACAACCGCTTTACTCTTTAAGGGTAGAGGTCAGGTCAGCGTACATCTCACCCCTAGACCCTGCCTTCTGGGCTCGTTTGGTTTGGTGGTTTTGGAGTTGTAGTCTCGTTTGCAAAATATACGGATCTTATCATTCGTTTATGTTATATTATTCGTGATTTTGATGTTATGAGATCTTGGAATGGTTGGGGATGTATTTTGATATGTATTAATGTATTCACGTGTGGTTTTTGTGTAATTTTAGTGGTTCAAGCTATATCCTGAATACCTTTCGAATCCATTTTTCATTGCGGGTGAGTCATATGCCGGAGTATACGTCCCTATGTTGTCTTATGAAGTTATGAAAGGTAACCATCTCTTCTTAAACCAGAAGTAGCTTTAGTTTAAGAGCGTTCCCGTAACCCCGTGTTTGATAATCCTTTAGGACTTGATGCCGGTGACAAACCCACTCTTAACTTTAAGGTATGTCCTCATCCAAAAACTGCATTATATACACACACATACATGAGAGGTGTGACTTTGCACTTAAATCACATGTGATTACAGAACACAATCAACACAAGGCTGTGCGGGTGACTTAGCCCACGACCCTAGGTCACAGCCAAGGTCGTGCGTGATGACGTGATTTTACTTGGGTTTAGTGCAAAATCACATGTGATTTGGCCGTTCTTGTTTTTATCTTATTTGGTCACTGGTCTTGTTTGAACCCGACTCTATATATATATATATATATATACATACACACATACAACTATTTGCCACAATCTGTTACAACCTCTCGACCTCTTGGAGTTGAGAAAAGGTCTATTTACATCCTACCCCTAGAGCCTAGACCCCACTAGTGTGGGATTTGTTTGGGCTATGTTTGACAAACTAGATGATAAGCTAGCTGTTGATTAAGATTTTAGCTGTTAGCTGATAAACTAGTCAAGTATGGTAAAACACGAGCTAAAATGACCTAAAATAAAATAAAAAATATATATAAGGGGCATAATTGGCAAAAAAGTGAAAAAGCACCAGAAGCTTATTGAAACACCACTTGAACTAGTGTTTCAAAAGCTAGCAGATATGCTAACCAAAAGGGGCTTTTCAATAAGCTAGCATATGGTCGCCAAATATGCCCTTCTTTTGGTTTTATGTACCACAATCTAAATTCATTATGTACAGGGATACATGGTCGGAAATGGAGTTACCGATGATGTATATGATGGCAATGCTCTTGTTCCATTTGCACACGGGATGGGCCTCATTTCGGATGAACTATTTCAGGTACGGGTGCTTTGACTTTTGAGGTCAAATATATTACGTGCCAAATCCAACATTCATATGGATCTCGTCACGGATTTGACATCCACATTGATTTTATTTTCAGGAAGTTACTAAAGAGTGTCAAGGAACCTACTATAGTCCTGCCAACGATGATTGTGAAAGCAATCTTGCAAAAGTTGATCAAGTAATTGTTCTTTTTCCGTTCTACTTTTCTCGTGAAATTATGTGTTATAACTAAAGATGCACAAAAAAACCCAAACCCGAAGCCCGGCCTGAAGAAATCCCTAGTAAGCACTAAGCGCGAGTCCCAGTCCAGGCCTGGCCTCAAAGCCCATTCAGGCCAAAATTTTGGGGGCAGGCCCGTCTCAAAAAACCCAACTCGGAAAAGGTGGCCTGAAAAAGCCCGAGCAGGCCCTTCAACCCCAAAGCTGGCTCTTCCTTTTGGTCACTGAAAACGGGCTTGGAAGGCCCCGGCTCAGGTCCGAAAAAGCATGGGCCTCGTGCATCTCTGGTTATAACCAATGGGTCATTGGCCCAACATTACCCGAGTTACCGATAGATCCTAACAACCTTCTGGGAGGTCAAGGGTTCAAGTATTCACTTGGATTTGAACGCGTATATGCAGGGTCTTGACGGGATAAACATTTATGACATTTTAGAACCGTGTTATCATGGTGATAGTTCGAGTAAGATTAGACTTGGAAATACAAACTTGCCATTGAGCTTCAGGAAACTGGGTGAGACTGAAAGGCCGCTTCCGGTTCGAACCCGAATGTTTGGTCGTGCTTGGCCTTTTAGAGCTCCGGTGAAGGCGGGTTACGTGCCTACTTGGCCAGAGCTTCTCAATAGTGCGGAAAACGTCCCATGTACTGTAAGTCATTTAAAAACGTTTTTCCGCATGTAGAAACTTAAAAACCATTTTTCAGGTTTTAGTTTGGAAATCTTATCTCTATATTTTGTAGGATGATGAAGTTGCAACAGTATGGCTGAACAATGAAGCAGTCCGGAGTGCACTTCATGCCGATCCGGTAAGATACAATCGGTTACTATTTATAGTAAGATTTACGGACACCGAGTTCTCGACAAACAATGAATATTGTAACGATGCTTCAGATTAGTGTGGCGGGAAATTGGGAGCTATGTACCGATAAGATAAGATATTATCATGATGCCGGAAGCATGATCAAGTACCACCAAAATCTCACTGCTCGCGGCTATCGGGCTCTCATTTACAGGTATTCCCATCTCTAACTTGACACTTGAAAGCAGGATTGACATTATACCGGTTTACAGTGAATAGGACTCGTCATATAAACGGGACACACGAAGTAATAACATTATACAATTCCTATTCTCATGTAGCGGGGATCATGATATGTGTGTTCCTTTCACCGGGAGTGAAGCTTGGACACGATCGTTAGGTTATGCAGTTACCGATGAGTGGAGGAATTGGCAGGTCGATGGCCAAGTCTCGGGGTATGTTTCTATTCCTCGATAAAAAATATACGGATACTAGAATTCTACTCCATCTGCCACAAAATAAGTGTCCATATTTCTATATTAGTTTGTCCCAAAATGAGCGCCCACTTTCAAAGTAAGTGTCTACTTTCCAATTATATCGTTAATTATGAGATGGATAAATTTATTAATACGATAGAGGGTAAAATAGTCATTTTGTTAATTAAAAATTGTATACCTGGATGCTTTGATGACGAGTAAAGTGCAACCCTCTGTGTTTTGAGGCGCAGTGTACCTTACGTGTCATCAATGCATCCGGTCAAGAAGGTATAAGAAAACAAATCTTCATATGGTCTTTTTAGAAACAATCTCTCTTCCTCTTGAGACAGAGATGAAGTCTGTATACATCTTACCCTCCAAACCCTCGTCTCTGGATGGGATATACCGGTTTGTTTGATTTGTTTTTTACCCGATATCTATGTTTATGAAGAAATGTTTCTCGTGGTTGCAGATTCGTACAAGGATACGACAACGGTCTCACATTTCTTACGGTTAAGGTTCGTCATACAATAAATTAATAAATACATATATATATATATATATACATATATATACATATATATACATATATATATAGCTGTAAACGAACCGAACGAACACGAACATAGGCTTGTTCATGTTTGTTCGTTCGTTTAACTTAACCGAACGAACACGAACGGTAAACGAACGGAAATAATTGTGTTCGTGTTTGTTCATTTAGAAACCAGGTGTGTTCGTTCTCGTTTTTGTTCGTTCTCGTTTTTGTTCGTTCGTTAACATGCTAAACGAACGTAAATGAACGAACATAAACGAACGGGTTAAACGAACGTAAACAGACCGACCTAAACGAATAGGTTTAAACGAACACCAATACTTGTCATTCAGTTTACTATTACTCACCAATTATCCATAGTTTAAACACATACAAAACAATCACCATTCATCAACCATCATTAATATACCAATACTTGAAAGACCCAATACTTAAAAAGGTTGTTTAAAATTTGAATTCAAACTATATAAATAAAAGTTATATATTAAAATTAATATATAAACAAAAATAAACGAACGAAAATAAACGAACGTTCACGAACATAAATGAACGAATGAGACTTATTTATGTTGGTTCGTTTAACTAAAAGAAAAAAAAATTGTTCATGTTCGTTCATTTATTAAATAAACGAACTTCCCGCCGAAGGGTTCACGAACGGTTCGCTAAACGTTCGGTTCGTTTACGTCTATATATATAGAGGAGCGATCAAATGAAAACCGCCTCCATTTATGTAAACCAATTTCATCCGTTCATTTTTTTTTTATCAATGGTCAAGATTAATTTAGTTTATTTTAGGAAATTAAAAAAAATATATTAAAAATATATTTTTATAACAGCAATAAAGGCAAAATGGTAAACATTTAAATACAATGAATTCGTAGTATTTTTTAATCAAGGCAACCATATTCTGTATATCATATTATTAATGAAACAATTATTTTGTAAAGTAATATATTATTGTTACGTTAACATTTTTTAAAATAACTTCCATCAATAAAATATATTAAAAATATAAATAAAACACATCATAGTCAATTCTATATAATGAATCGTTTGAATAGAAATAAAGAAAAAATTGAATTAGATTATATGAACGAAATGGTTTTACAATTTCATCAACAAACTAATCAATGTAATTAATTTTATTATAATGAAATTGTTTCTTTGTTTACTAATTACATAAAATTTTATTATAAAACATGAAATAGTTTCACTGTCTTTGCTCACCTATTTCATCGGCACTTGTGGTTTGATGAGTCATTTGACATTTCACGATAATGTTAATGAACTTGATTCACTTTTAGCTAATGAATCAGGCTTTTTATTTCATTTTTTGAAATTGTTTCACTTTCTTCAAACACCCACAAAAATTATGCACCCTATTTATCATGCAATTATTTCATGACGCACAGATTTCATCATGCACTAGTTTCATGATGCACCGTTTACATGATGCACCTGTTTCATAATCCGTTTCACTTACTCTAAGCATCAACTTCAACATTTATGAAACGGGTTTCACCATGAAACCAGTTCGCTACTCATTGTTTAATTACGTCATGCACCATTTTCACCATTATGAAACCTGTTTCATGAATATTAATTTTTTATTTTAATACTGATTTGATGAATTCATTGCTCTAATATCTTACAATCTTCATGATTATGGGAAAGATTCAATCGCCACACAATATTACGAGTTCAAATTTTTACTATTATAATATAATTAAATATTTAAATGTTACCATTTATAAAATTTTATTTATTACGTTTCCTAAATTAAGATTTATTAATAATTTTCATATTTAATATAAAACAATGTAAATGACCAAAACCCTTAATGATTAAATTTAATTAGAAAAAAAATGGAATTTTCTTATTGGTCGAAATTAGTTTACACGGTTTCTAAGAAAATGCATTGTTTTCATTTGAACGTGCCTATATATATATATATATATATATATATATGGGAGCGTTCAAATAAAAACCACCTAATTTGTACAAACCGTATAAACTTCATTCAACTAATCATAATTTTTCATTTTGTTCATTTTTTTGTAATTATGAGAGGTTGATTAATCATTTTTATTGTGGATGATGTTAATCATGGATATTATCATCTTCATTATTTTAATTTTAGAGAAATACATGAAACAGTTTCATTAAGTAGTATATGAAACAATTTCATAACCATATATGAAACAATTTCATAACCATATATGAAACAATTTCATAACCATATATGAAACAACTTCATCTAAAAAAGTATTATATGAAACAATTTCACAAGATTAAACAATTTCATGAAAAAATTTCATAAGATTAAACAATGAAATCGACAAATGAAAGTAGTTTTTACGGTTTTTACAAATTGGAGTGTTTTTTATTTGAGCACTCCTCTATATATATATATAGAGAGAGAGAGAGAGAGAGAGAGAGAAGGGGGAGGTTTGGGAAAACCTTGAATAAATGAAAAACTAAAAAGCAATTTATCGACCGTTAGATTAATTGATCTAATGAGTGTGATTAAATAGATGGTTACAACAATATTTGTAAATCAAAAAAATCAATCCCCCTATTATTTATTCGAAAAAATATGAAAAATAAACAAAATTCGAGTGAAATAAACTTGACATTCATAATGATATATTATTTTCATATGTTTTTTCATTTATTTAGCATTTACCTAGGCCTGACCTTATATAAGAGAGAGAGAGGGAGAGGGAGAGGGAGAGGTTTTGAAACTAAGGAGTTGTTTACTAGACGTTTATCCGGTAAGTGTTTGTCGGGTAATTTTTCTCACCGGATGAACATGACAAGGGTCGAGAATCTTACCTGGTAAGAGGTGGAGACGGTAAGTGACGGTGACGACTTTTACCCAGGTAAGTAGTTACCGGGTAAATTGTTACATACGATAACGTTTTGATGTAATACAATCTTACTCGGTAAAATAAGTTATAGTTTTGACTCTCAGTAGTAAACGCTTACCAGATAAGCATTTGGGTAAACACCCCTAAAGTGCATTTTTAAACCATAATTTGAGCATATATAGATATGATGAACAGAGACTAAAAGGAATTTAAAGCCTAGAGAATGATCTATATACCGTTCAAGCTAAACATTCGATGGTTCTGTGATTCAGGGATCGGGGCATACAGTACCCGAGTACAAACCGAAAGAAGCCTTGGCGTTTTACACTCGTTGGTTGGAAGGAATGAAAATATAGGAAATTCCCCTCGATTGTTGTTATCTATTACCTGTAACGTATTTAATTTAAGAATAATTTGGTAACGTCGAAGGTTGTGAATCGGAGGTATTTGGATTCTTCTCTTGGATGGTAACACCTTAAATGTCGTAAGTTTAAATTTGGAGCTGACACGCTTCCGCTCAAATACTTAAGCATTGACGTGTTTTCTTTCCGGAACTTTAAAATATTTATTCAATGCCTTAAGCCTAAATCCAGTTCAAATAGGTAACCAGTCTAGCAACCGTTAACTATACGATAGCAAGACCGTGGTAAGATATCAAAAACCAATTGGGCAACATCACCATAAAACCAAAGTCCTTACATCCAGCGTCGGTTCTAATCCAATCCAGTAACCACGTATGGTGTCTCCATAAATCCACCACCATCACACAAGGTAATATGATCCTCACTAAACCCGGAGACTGGCGCAGTATGAAAAGTTACAGATGATAAGAATATGAACCAAAAATAGCAGGTCCAACAAAAAAAACATCAAAATCATATCCAAAAACAAAAAACATAGCGTTTTGAGAGCTTATTGTCATTTTTTTAATTATAACCCTGATTAGCATTAATTATTATTTATTACTATTAATTATAAATAAATATTAATAAATTTTAAATATATTTAATATTAATTAATATTAAATATTAATTAATATTAA